CACATGCTATAAAAATGCGACCTGACCTGACAGGTGAGCGTCACGGCACATGCCGCGATGATCTTACCTGACTTCCGTAAGAGCAGCGTCGATTTTAAGATGACTTTTCGGAATAGTGGTCAAAGCACGACATGTCTTGTAAGTTACTCACGAGCAACTTATGGAATTTTTCTCTGCGTCTCCTCCTTCGCACACTATTTCCCTAAAATCATTTCAAAATCGATGCTGCTCCTAAGGAAGTCAGGTGACATCATCGCGGCACGTGCCACGCTCACCTGTCAGGTCAGGTCGCATTTTATAATATTTGGGAGTGGTCGTTCGTCAGTTCATCTTACGAACCCTGTCTGAGGACTCCATTTTTAGATCACCTGATCTGACCGACTTTACTACGGACTATAAATGTAGAGGTTAGTTTGATGCCTGCCTATTCCGATATTCCACGAACGCATAGAGACATTTGAATGCACCACAGTGTATGGCGCAACTCATGAATATGTCTCATGATTCACGTATCACACTGCTATTGCATCTCTGAATTTCTGTGTCATACATACTTCGCAGAATCTGCAAAGAATATGCAAGTTTCGCAAATGTTGTTCATAGCACTTATTCGAAATTTGCGCATATTTATGTTTAGGTTGCAAAAAAACTCACAGTAGTGCTCTGAATTAAAAGATCCGCTTATAAGCTGACAGGAGTCATGTTCTAGGGTCATGTTTTTTTCACGGTTTATAAATAATGGCAAACAAGAGATTGCGCTGCTTTTGCTACAGTTGCGCATAACCTCCACTCCGCGTCAGTTAAGTCACTCATATTTGTTCAAATTTTATTCAATAACCAAATTTGCTTCTTAATGTGAATTCGCTTTATGCGTTTTAGGTTTTATGATTATTTGAAATGATTCTCAGTTTAGCTAGCATTGCGTGATGTAGGATAATTTGTACTTCAATTCCTTGGCTCATTGCCCATTTCCGTCGACGCATAAACATGCGCTTATACATTAAGTACGCTATCAAAAGAAAAATAGGGGCCTTCCTGTTTTGGGTGAAAGTTGTTTGGAAACGCTTTTTGACTATTTAAAATATGATCTTCCAATTTAAGAATTTTTTTCATCTTAGATTATGAGTACTCGCCATTGTCCATATAGAGACTTTTCTTGTAAAATAGATTCTGCAATTTCAGAAATGCAACAAAACCTACCGTCTCGATGTTTGAGTTATATCTTGCCGCAAGTTCTTCGAGCGGGATGATATGCTCATCCTGGAAAAGAAGAACTTTTTCCTTACTAAGATTTTGCACTCTTTTAAGCCGCTTACCATTTTGACTTCTTGTTTAAGCTCATTTAGATCAGCCGCTTTCTCCTTTGCTTTCCCCATTGCCTACAAGAAAAACACTTATCATTCGGATTTAGAGAATTATCCAGTAGCAAACGTCAAAGTGTATGCAAATAATGATAAAAATCCAATTAGTCCACAAAACCAGAGGAGTTAGGCAGCTCGGAGAGGAGAGCTAGTCGAGCACGCAGCTAAGCAGCACAAAGACATTCAAATGCACTGGCAAGAGCAGGATGGCGCTCGAGAAGCGGAGCGCAAACGGGCAAGAAAAAAACGTCGAAGGAAAGGGCAAAATAGTGATGTGCTTGGAGCGAGAGGGACAGACAGAGACCGGGAGCTGCGTGCATGTACCAGCTATTGGAAAAGCTGCGTGACGGCGACCGAGCCCCCAGCGAACGTCCAATATATCGCGGCGGCGGCTTTCGAGCAAAAGTGCACGTGAAGCCGCGGTG